TTTAAATAAAACACCCTGAGTAATTTCCAGAGATCAAATTATTATAAGGTAAACCATTAAAATACTATTTTGCTGAAGATTGTTTCAAACATGGATACACTTTGGTGATTTTAATTTAATTAATTTTTCTGCTTTTAACATAATTCATATTAAATCAGCACAACTCTAGAAGACTAAAGGAATTTTGAATTTCTTTAGAAGCAAACATGTCTCTCTCAACATGTGGTATGCATGCGTTAGATACCTGTAGGGTTTCTATTTCCTTTTTGTTGTTGTTTAATTCTGCAGTTTATCTACAGGTTATCCTACCTTCACTTTTAACTTCTGGAGAAGAAAAACGTAAAGATCTAAAACTGATCTTTTTTTTTGAGAGACCACCTCTGCTTAATTTCCCACTGAAACTATCTTCTGGATTGCTGTCCACGAGGGTGGTATATTTAGTCTCAGCCAACGACAGGCTGTAGCACTGGCGTACAAGGTCACATTATAGCAAAGAAACAGCTTGTGGTGTCTCTGTCTGCCAGGACCCGCTCATTTGGAATAATGGAAGAGAGTGCAGTACGTTGTTAAACTAATGCCAGACTGTTTACAGATTTTTTTTTAGTATATATCTACAAATAAAAAATGTAAGGCAAATGTAAGAGAAAGATTGAGGCAATTATAAAAAACTAGAGGTAAAGTGGAATCTCTATAGTTGTTCTTCTAATAATTTATGTTTTCCATATACATGGTTATAAAAATTCCACCTCAGCTTATGTTTGCATGAAATGAGTACTTTAAAGTCTAAAAACAATTCAAGAATTTATGTTGGTATTGCATGTATAATTGTACTTATCTTCCTTTAACTATCTAGCAGGTGTAATAATTTGCTAAATGGATTTACCAATATTTACTTTTCTTCTAATTTCCTAGAGTACATCCATTCTAAAATATTCCCTAATATTCTTGCATTATCTCTGTACAAAAAGTAACAGAACGGTGTATCTTACCCTGTGACCTTTGTCACCTGGCAGACCTGGAAGTCCATCGAATCCTCTATCCCCCTGTAAAATCATCATCGCCATCATCATCATCACCATCATCACCATCATCATCACCATCATTATCATCATCATCACCATCATCGTCATCATCATCATCACCATCATCACCATCATCATCACCATCATCATCATCACCATCATCATCATCACCATCATCGCCATCATCATCACCATCATTATCATCATCATCATCATCACCATCATCACCATCATCATCATCATCATCATCACCATCATCATCATCACCATCATCACCATCATCGCCATCATCATCATCACCATCATCGCCATCATCATCACCATCATCATCATCATCATCACCATCATCATCATCATCATCACCACCATCATCATCACCATCATCGCCATCATCATCATCACCATCATCACCATCATCACCATCATTATCATCATCACATTTCCAGTCTAATCCTGTAGTGTAATTTGAACGTGACATATTCTTTCATATGAAGAAACTTAATTTGAAAATACAAAACCCAAGGGGTGAACTGACATGGGATGTGAATATATAAACCCATGAGCTCCTGACCTTTGCCCCGGGTTCTCCTGGCATTCCTCTTCCTCCATCGGCCCCCGGTCGGCCCTGAGGATGCCAAGAACATGACTCAGCAGAAGGGACTCCTACCAGCGCAGAGTAAAACAAGACAAAATAACTGACGATCTCAGACGCCCGCAACACACACAGGGAAAGCCGACCATACCCTCTTTCCGGCTTTTCCCGTCGGGCCAGGCGGGCCTTGCACACCACGCGGACCCTGCGTCAAATCGGCATAATTAATCCACTTCATAAAACGCTTGATCAATGAACTCAATCACTCTGAGTGAGACGGTTTTAGGAATTTACATCCACTTAACTTCACCTTAATCATTTTAACATAAGAAAATAATCTCCTATGTAAAAGTCCAGATAAAGCAGAAAAGAGGAGAATCAATTTTTCTAAATGACTTCTTGCAAAAAAAAGAGTCCCATTATATTATTAAGAATACTTAGACACATACCTTCGTTTAAACAAAAAGAACACAGTGGTATTTTAAACTTTAAAAAATCCTCCATTACTCATTTTTCCTCAATATCTGGAGGTTTTTTTATTTCCTTTGACTGAAACACCCTTAACCCACTCATCTTAACCCTCTTCTTTTTCCAACCTCTCTTCCCTCCCCTTTACCTTCTTTTTTGAAGTTTCTCCCTTTCTATTCTTTTATAATATTTCATTGATCATGCTGATTTGTAATTGCATTTTCTCACAGCGGAATCTCTCCCATTGGACTATTAACTGTGGCAGCTTTCGGCTAGATCTTCTTCTCCATTGTACGGCTGCCACTCAGCACAGGCGTTTCCAATCATCTATGAAATGCTGGAGGACGACCCGGCAGGCCCTGATGCAAATTCCCGACTGGCACCGTGCCCGGTCAGAGTCAAGGTTAAAGACTCTCACTACGCCTCTCCTCTGAGTCACTACAACGAAATGTTGTGTCTACGTATAAAGTCTTCCAAGGAGATTGATACACTTTTTTTTTAATTACAGAGCTAATAATAGGTCAAATGCAGTTCCAGTGTAAATATGATATAGGCCTTTATATTTAACGATATTTAATTAACTATATCTTTTTAAAGTTCATTTAAACAGCGTGCATCTAGTGAATGTGGTGGAAAATGTAACACGTTTACAAATAATTTTAGGATCCCTGTAAAATATTCATTTTATGAAATTAAGGCTAACGCTTTGAAGCTAAAGAATATAGTGTTAAAAATTATGGTAGTGAGAAGGCAAGCTGAAGGCGAGGGACAATGAATGGCAGGACAAATCCTGTCAGTTCTTAGTGAAAACGGTCATTTGGTGGTGCCTCCCTGGAGTCAAGAAAAACCACCAAGTCCATGAACACGACTGCAGCACGTTTTCAGATTCATCTATTATCGAAAGAGGTGAGTAGGGTCAAAAAGCTCCTGCATTTAGCAGAAGATTAAATTCCTTCGGTCCCCAGGCTGCGTCACGTCGATAATTTCATGCACGTCTCCCTCGGGCCGCCAAGGCCTGCCACCCCTGTGGGGCGACATTCACCAAGCCACCTTCCGCGTCACCCAAAAGCCCGTCTCAGTTCTCTTTGGATTTCTGCTCACGGCAACGTAAATAAACGGTGGTGCATCCACGGGGAAGGACCACTCGGCAACAGGAAGGAACAGACAACGATGCACCCATCAGTGGTGCGGGATTGCAAAGGCACCGCGCCCGGAGAAAGAAGCCACAGTCAGAGGGTCACACAACAAACGAGTCGTTGATGGGGCATCTTGAAAAGATAAAACTGAGGTGATGAAGAGCAGGTCGGGGGACTGTCAGGGGGCAGGCTGGGGAGAGGATGTGACTGCAAGGGGGGGGCACCCAGGAATCTGGGGGTTACAGATCTTGATGATGGTGGTGGTGAATGCAAAGAATACGGATAGGTGTTAAAATTCAATTTTTCCTTGTACTATTCTGTAAATAAAATTACTTTAAAAAGAAGAAAACAAATTAGTGGCTGGCTAATCGAGAGAGCTCCTGTACCCCAGTCTGAATTTATATTTATCGAGTACATTAAGAAGATTTTCTTTTAAATGAATGCATTGATAAAAGTACAACACAGTTTGTTTGTGTTTTCTAGGATAAGTACATTTCATCATGTGCCTATATTGAATGGTTCTATTTATTTATTGTCATTAAAGAAAAAAGAGCAATACTTTTTTTAATTTGGCACCATGTAAGTAAAATCTAAGATCTTGAAAACATTTCGGCTCAGATAGTCTTAACTTCTCTGAATTTCCTCAGCTCTACACAGGGTTTGAAGTGAACTTCTTTGAAGGATGTTAAATATCCTTTCTGAGAAAATCCACTAGACGTAATTTCCACGGAAGCCATCTCGGGCTGGAGGCAGGGCCGGTATAAGTAAAAATGCAAGGGTTCTGCTCTGCTTTGAACAATCCCAAACCAATTTAATAGTCTGAAGGGCTAATACTATTAAGCCTTTTCTCTTCCTAGTTTACCCTCCTTTTAATATTGTTTAAATTAATCAAGTCGTTGGCAGCCAACCAGCCACAGAGGATTTCTCAGAGAAAGGCGTTGATGTGAGCTAAAAGACAGTGTGAGTAATTTCCTTGCTCATAAAACAAGTGGTAGATGCTTCAATTACCTGACTTGAAAGAAAAAGTCAAAAATACAATGAGCGACGTGAATTATTTTTTACCTGAGGACCCGGGTCACCACTCTCCCCTTTGGCCCCTGATAAGCCAGGCACCCCCTGTGGAGACAGAGTGAGGACACAACATTTCACTTAGCAATCCCCTAACCACTTCGGTCCTGTCCATTATTTAAAATACATTTCATCCGATGAATACGATTTTAGTAACACAATAAAACTTTCAAGTCCTTTCGTTGAAATGCCTCTTCTCAGACTTTGTATTCCAGTGTGTGAGCTGCACGTAAAAGACTCCGTTTTCAGCCTCAGTCCATGGAAGCCAGTTCCATGAAATCACACCGAAACGTTCTTCCCTGTGCGTGCGTGCTCTCACGCACTGGCCACGGCCCACGGGCATTATTTATCATCGCGCTCACCGGGGCACCCAAGGCAACACAGTCTCACTGAATCAGTCAGTTCTAGACGGAGTGCATAAGACAGCGAGGACCTGGTGACACGCTCCCGCTTCCACGCTCAGAAATGTTTCAGACGCTGCATTCTACGGCGCGAACAGATGCTGCGGCTATCATTATAATCGTCCTGAGATAATGTCAAAGCATTTTTTCTTCCCCAGATGGGTCTGTGTTTTTCCTACGAGAATAAGTCCTTATGACAGATGCCTCTCCTGAACATTTACATAATGCAAAAGGTGCAACAAAAACCTGGCACATTAACTGGAAAAAACAGGAAATCATTTTATAAAGGTCCTATGAGTTAAGGAACTAGGTGCTCCTTTTAAAAGCGCTCCTCGGGCCTTTTGGTAATGACCCTCTGAGTCGTAAGGGAAGGGCAAAGCAAACATAGTCTGCTGCTTTTGGGTGAAGCTGCAGTATGTAGTGTTGTTTTGCTTCAATCGGTGGTGTGACAACATAAAATAAATAGAAAATAAAAGGGACAAGAAATACTAGGCCATGAGCATGCCCCCAAAGAGATTCAGAACATTAAAATGTGGGGATAAGAGCTATTTCATGCCGTAGAAATATACTTTATGTGTTTAGGACATACAGCGTTTAAGTCAAATTTGTAATCAATGACAATGCACTGAATCAAAGCACAAGAAGATTGAAATTATGCTGTGGGAAAATGTTAGCTAGCTAGAGCCTCCTGGTGGCTCCAGAGTAAAATAACCGTGAACATGACTCCCGAGAAAGGCAGCAGGTCAAAAACACGAATATCCTAATCTTGAGAATTACAAGAACGATGACTTTCAAACTTCTAATTAAGCATTCTTGTGGCTAAATTCCTTCAAGAGAAAAACTGGTTCTACACTAAGTCTGATTATTAATCACTGAATTGAATGCTAGGACAGTCCATTTATTTTTAATTAATTTACTGCATTATATCTTCTGTACATAAGCACTAGAACAGATTATAATTACTTGCCCAAACACTTATTCGAAAAATTATCATGCAATAATCAAGAGTAAAAAAATAGAGGGGGGAAAAAACATTGTCTACATTTTCTGCATATTTTGTCATGTAAACCTCCATTTGTCCATAAAAGCGATTGGAAAAAACAATTGAATAAAGAATTTTTTTCATTGGAAGAATGTATATATTTTCTTAAAATATTGATGTAGACTTTATTTCTTTTCTAATTCTTAATGAATAAAAATTTTTTTGCACTCCAGCATTAATAGATATGTGAGTCTGTAATAGTTTCATGTTTTGGAGCAAAAGTCAATAGAAGAGAAAATGGTGAAAAGGAACAATATGAATTTTTCCTCTCAATACTTATCTTTAATAGTTAAGGAGCCTGAGACTTTTCCGTAACAAAGACGTCAGTAGTGAAATTAATTAATCTTGGAGATAACATTGACAGCGTGGACATGGTAGTTAATGGTAAAATATATCAGCGTTTCCCAAACATTCATGGCCATAGGAATCAGAGTGGTGAACTCTTTGCAAATATAGCTTGCCATTTCCACCCCTGAACCTGTATCATCAGAGTCTGAGGTTTAGAGTCCAAGAACTCTTATTTTTAACAAAATATATGGGCAATGCTTCTGCCCCTGAATCTGTGAAGCACTAACAGGCTGCCAGCTTTCCTTTGTCATGTCAATGTGCATTATCACTAACAAAACATTAAATATTAGCAATATTTCTCCCTGTGTTAAGAGACATGGAATCTTCCATGCTCCTTATTATATTTTGAAAGGCAGAGCAGTAAAAATGAATGATAATGCATTCACTTAGTAATAATGCATATAGAATCGTGCACAATTTAAATTCTGTGGAACATATTGTAAGAACATGTGTTCCTCATTGGGCTGAGTGCATAGCCCTTCAAAATACATAAAATGTTATGAAATTTTCAAGACTGAATCAAAAGAACTGTACATTTATGTAAAACTATATAACAAACTGGAATAAAATACAAGGAGAAAACTATTTCTTATCCTAATAAAAGTAAAAAAAATTAAACAGACTATATATTGATTCCAATTTGAATAAAATAATTTTCCTATAACTGTCCACTAGTAAACCAAAGATAAGATTTTAATGTTCAGAGCACTATTTTCTATAAATACCTGTTTTTCTATAAAAAAAGTATTTTGAAAGCATATAAAATCATATGAAAGCAAACTAGACATACCTTTTTATATTGAAAATGAACACTTATAATAGAGATTATTCATTCTATTAATTCTAAAATGAATGAGAACTTACTTTGGGATCCCACAATGCTCTCTTTTTTCAAGAAAAAAATATGATTTGAAGAAACATCTTCATTTTATGAATTGCTACCCTGCTGAATGTTTGGCAAGTTTCAAAAGATTTGAAGATACTTAAGGAAACTATTTGTAACATATTAGCTTGTTAGCAAGCTAGTAAGGAAAAATAAAACACTTATTTTCCAAGAGCCTCTGAAAGACAAATAATTTCTGCAGCCTGTGGAGCACTTTGAGGAATACCGGGGGCAGCCTGAAGTTAGAGCCAGGTACCCTGTTTGCGCCTAAAATGATGGAATAATTCCTACCGACCTCACATATATTTTCCTGAACATTCTGTTGACCATAAAATGAGGTCTCAAGAATTCAATGTAAAACTGAATTTTAATAACTATATGTTATGCACGTAAATTATACTTGAAAAATTAATAGCTGGCTGTGTGATACAATTTTATTTCTCATTGTCTTTATTTAATCTGGAAACGTCTCACTGAAACCTTTTCATGAAAATCGACTGAGGACTCCACTGAAAGTGGGAGCTAAACGAGGCAGGAGCGGGCACACGCAGTCCGCCCAGCCAGAGGCCTGAACAATGGCTGGCTACAGGTGTACAAGGAATTAGTACAGGAAGAATCTAAACACACGTGCTCTTATGGGATGACCTACCACAGGACCCGGTCTTCCGGTCAGACCCATCGGGCCAGGCGGGCCTCGCAGCGCGATCTAGAAAATAAAAGGCATCCAACTTAGGGAGCGGTCTGCCGGACTCACACACTCGACCACAGTGTTCATTCACACAAGCTTCCCTTCAGCAAAGGATGGTGGACACGAGTGTAGCAGCTGCATGCCAGGGAGAGAGCCTGACTACTGAAGGACTGCAACTTTCTGCAGTGATAAATGACCTACGCAAGTATCAGCCATTTTTAAATCGTTGCAACGTATGCAATCTTGTACCACATGTTATCAGGACTTACTCAGTAAAAAAGTTAAAATAGATTGTACAGTAAGAAATCCAGGATCTGACATGTTTTTCTATCCTGAAGCAACTTCAGCATAGCACATAGACCTCTCTTAAATACATAGGGCCCATACTTGTTGGACACACTTCTAGAGGTGAACAATTCGAGTTGCTTTAAATAAAAATTTTCCAGCTGTATTTAAGGAAAAATGATGACAATTAAAGTCAGGTGTCAAAATGCAAAACTGATCAGAAAGTGTTACGACCATGCATTTCTATCGACAAAACTCACATTTAACAAAATATAGACGAATAGATTTATTTTGTGAAATATAGAAAAAATAGATTTATTCTGTGAAATCATAGACATGGAGACTGATCACATGCATTATTGATGTTGAAAATTAGGGCTGTGAAATTAGCATACTTGAAAAGCTGAAATGAGTCAAGCACAAAGGGTAAATACCTGGCAGATGTTAAATCAGTGTGGTGCACGATTTTTGAATATTAGTGATTCCAGAGGTGAATACTGACGATTATCCAGATATCAAAAATAATGCAGTAACAGAAATATGTAAAATTGTATTAGAAAAGTGCACGAGATGAAGACAGTAGGATCTCCCAAGTTCTACCTCTGACTCACCGTGGGATTTTTGACAATACACTTCTTAATCCTTGAGATTAAATATCTGAAAAATTGGAATTATAATGCTTGCTACCTATTTCCAAGTAAGTTAAAAGGACTAATAAAATGAGAAATTCAGCAGCCTCCTGAAAGATTTACACTCAAATAATTACCTTTAATTTGTTCAAAGTAATGTGATTTATGAGATAAACTGCAGGAATCATGAATAAATTATTTTAAATATTTTTATATTTGTTTATGCCAAGTCTAGTATACAAATATTTAAGTTTTGTCTTTGTACCTGATGTTAGCAAATGGTGGCCAGTGTCTAGATTGACGGGCGGACTAAAAATGTAGGTGAATATTGATAATGAGTTTAAGCTCAATATTTTCAGGTATTTTACACACTCACAGGTTTATGACGATAAATAAAAAGTTACCACATAAGCGATTTATTTACATCACTTAGCAAGTGGATACCCACAATCATACCAATTTAAGCCCTTAATTTCTTTTAAAGAAATAAAATACACCATGGGCAAAAGTATTATATGACTTTCAACTCTTTCCGGTCCCTTCTTTTGATTTTCTTATGTATAATTTAATTACAATAAGGTTAATGCAGAATAAATAAAAGTACAGCATGGAAAACATAGGCACTACTATTGTAATAACTGTGTGGTGCCATGTGGGTGCCGGAAAGATTGGGGGGCACTCTATAAAGCACGTGACTATCTAACCACTACGCTGCACACCTGAAACTAACACAGAATAATACTGACTGGAAACTTAATTGAAAAAAACTTCTTAAATAAATTAAAGAAAACATATATAATTATAATTACATATTTGGTAAGTAGACAGATAGTGGAAACTTGCAGCTGACAAAGAATGACAAATTGAATGAATTTTGTAAAAACATTACAGATTATAATGACGAGAACTTAGAATACCCCTTTGGAGGTCCCTTTCTCGTACAACAATGTCTAAGAAACTTAATTTACTGAGTTATTTGGGATATCCTAAATAATGCAAAAGTTTAAGAGGAAACCGGCTATCCCACCTTTGTCCTTTCACTTTATTCATTCCCCACTGACTCAGGCCTCAGGAGGAAGAAGTGGGGGTGAAAAATAGCGCGTGCGAGGCATAAACCCATCAGCGCTCTTCCAAAAAAAAAAATGTAGACCACACGTGTGTTACAGATTGTGTGTAACTGCCAGAAGTGTATATGGCAATAGTGCAAGGGTCGGTTGTTTGACACTCAATGAAAGACAATAATCCTTCTGGACAGAGAGAAAATCTTAGCATTTTCCCATCTAAATTCCATGTACTGTTCCGCGGTATTTTGTTCATCGTGGTAGCGCCCCCCAGAGGCACACGCCCGCACGTGCAGCATCAGGTTAGGGGGGGATGCATGCTCTTCTCACCCGGGCCTGTTGGAGGATTGCCTGCGCCTGCGCTTCCTGGGCGGAGATGGTGGGTCCTTTGGAGCCGTCACCGCCGTAACGAAACTAAGGAAAGGGAACACAAAAATTCAAGAGACGCCTTTGTCTACTGGGTGCCTTAATGACTAGATAAAAGCCACCTGCCTACAATGGTGGGATTTTACGAAAGT